AGCCCAGTATGATGACGAAGTTTGCTACAAGGTCCGACGGGCTCTGCAAGCTAACCGATTGGCGCCAGAGTCGATTCCGATCGTGTTGCAGCAAGTTCTTCCGGAGATCTCTATCAACGAGTACGACGTGCTAGTCAGAGACTATTATGCTCCCTGCAAAGGCGAGGTTGTCTCCGTCCCTGTCATTCCTGATAGCCTCAAAGCAGAAGTGGTTCATGGTATTCACTCTCTGTTGTGCCACTGTGGGTGTCGACGTACACTTGAGGTGTTGTCTGGCTTATGTTGGTTTGTCGACATGTTGACGGAAGCTGCGGCAATGCTGTCGAACTGTGATGTCTGTTCAAGACAGTCGAGGCCAATGATCGTTAAGCATGACATTGGTTTGTTTTCTCCGGAGCGCCTTCGTGAAGCTGTGCCTTTCTCTGTGGTGAGTGCCGATGTGGTCTATCTTTCTGAGCCCTACCTTTCGCAGCAGTGTGCAGTGAGTAAGTTTGCTTGTCTGATTGGGTTAACAAGCGAAGGTGCTACCACTATTGCACAGGCGTTCGAACGTAGTTGGGCTATCATTGGGAAGCGGCCAGTGTATCTGCTCACGGATAATGCAGCAGCATTTCTGTCATGCGAGTTGCCGGGCGTGACGAGACTCTACACTCCTGTGAGGTCGAGTCAGTCAAACGGTATGGTAGAGTCACTTCATCGCACGGTACGAAGGTGGGTGCGCGCTGTGCTGGCCGATGACCCGTCCATCGGTGTTGAAGCTGCAATCCATCGTGTTATGACTCATAACTTATGAGAGCTTATAACTCAACCTGTCACTCTGTCACTGGACAGATACCGAACGACATGTTCAACACCGACCCCGATAGTGTCGAGTGGAAAAGGCTGGCTGCTAAGGTTGCTCAGCTGGCTGAGAAGGAGATCCAAACCAGCACTAAGCACAAGCTCTATCCAGGATGCATTGTCCGCATTCGAGCTGTCACGAGATTCGACAAAGTGATCTCTAACTCTAACGACACCCCTTTCAGTGAGCGACGCTGGCGGGTGGTTGGTTTTCCCACTGGCCGTGGACTCATCACTCATGCTGATGACTATGGTTATTTTCGTAAGGTGAAGCTGGTCAGCGATGGTGAGATAAAGGTTCTACATGCTTCGAGACTCTGCATTTGTACTTCCGCTGAGACAGATGTCGCTGACCTTAGACGTGCGATGCGCAGGATTGGCCGACAAAATCCACTACGAGATCACGGGCTGTCCAGACGAAGGGTGAGAGAGAGGCGGACAGACCGCAACCGTAGCAAGTTTTTGTCGACGGCACGAGGTGTCGAACCCGCGAAGGTTACGGCTGAATGGGTTCAGGGCTAGCTCCCTTATCCATTCGAGTACATCGTCTGTCGAACGAGTATACCCATTGAGCTGTGGTTCGGTGCTAGCCGAACTCGCTCGGCGGACATGACGGAGACTTTGTGCACGAGTCAGTCTCTCGTCCACCAGACCACAGCTGTAGGAGCCAGTCACATCCCGTAGGTATGCGGCCGATGCTGATGCATTGTCGAGGCTGGCTCGACAAGCATATTCATGATTGGCCGTGACGCTCACGAAAAGAGGACTTTGATGATCTGGGAGCGTCTTGCATGCTTCCAACCGAGGCTGCTGGCCTGATGCAGCCTTATGGGCTGTTGGTCGTGGTGGCCACAGCTTCCACACAGTGGTGGTGGCGGCTGGAAGCACGATACTGGAATATGGATATCTGACTTGATGATCGCTGGCTGACGGTGAGCCGGAGCATTGTCAAGTGAAAGATAGGGCATGAGAGGAGAAATGTCCCGGGCGGGTTTGGGATGGGGAAAGAAAACAAGTCTCGAGAGGCCGAACTAGCCA